ATATAAAAAATAAAAAATAAGATGAGAGATGAGGCTGAGAATTTTGAGATGGTTAGCGATATGAACAAAAAATGTCGTTGAGGGCAGCCTTATGAAACACTCACTTATTTCCTGAAACAACACATTCCATGAGCAGAACAACATAAAATTGCTCATTTTATCTAGGTTATTATCTGTATTCTCATGCTGAGAAAAATTTCACTAAAAAATCTCATTTACTTTGTTTATAATTATCAGAATTAATGGCATTTAGTAATAACAAAATCTTGCATACGTTTGTACAGGTATATGCTTTTAACCACCTTCCCTGTCTTTGTGGTAGACAGGGCAGGTACGATTATCTCCATTTAAAAAAAAAAAAAACTGGCAGAGGGAAATAAAGTGCTTTTCATAGATTCTTTTGAGAAGGTCCCAGCTCGTCTACGAGAATCAAAGATATTAACTGGTTTTCCTGAAAATATACTTCTGGAACAAGTGAAAATGGAACTGAAGAGTACAGAATTTCACACTAAACTAACATTAAACTCCATAATGCGAGTAAATTTACCTTTAACCAAGAGTTTTTCCTCATTTTCAGGCGCCCCATCCACATGTCTGTCAGTAGCATTTGGGTGCAAGTATGTGACACGAAGGGCCGCAACCCTCCAGACACGGCTAGTTTCAAGCAGGTGGAATTGCTCCAGTTCTTGAGTTCACATGTCAACAGCTTCATGGCCATTCGCTCATTCTGCTTGAACGCCTTCTCCAGCAGGTCCAGGGCAAGCTGGCCAAACTGTCTGCAATGACACAGTGCCGAGTGGAGAAAACAAAGGCCAGCGAGAGGCCTGCATTTTTAGAAACCTTTTAGAACACTTAGAAAGATTCTAAAAGATTGGATGTGAGACTCAGAAAACATTAATTAGTTATTAGGTTTTATTAAAAAAATAGCCAATAGCTGAATAATCTTAGTTTGCAGAAATTATGTTAAAGGCACTGCTTCTCAGGAAAAGGATTGGTCACCCTTTCCTGAAGGAACAGAACTCTGGGGCAAACACCGTGGCATATAGAGTTTAATTTACACCTAAGCTATTCCTGGGGAGAACCCACTCCGCACTATTCAACAACCTACACATAACTTGTTTTGGGACTGTCTGATAAGCCCTAATAAAAAATTGTTTTCACGGAAAAGACTATTCAGAACTAAACTAGCAACTACGGAAAGTTGTAGAACCACTTTTTTTTTTTTTTTAAAGATTTTCCAAAATATACAGATGACTTCTGTAAGAAACTAGACCTGAACCTAGAGACAGCCTCAGGGGATTTTCCAGAAGGAAAATTTTCTCTGAAAAGCAGACACAACATTAACTCTAGCGTCCCTTCTTTCTTCACTGCTCTAACACTTTAGTAACTTTTAAAAAATCAAGAAACATGTTTAACTTTTCAATCTTTCACCACTACTCTCCGGTTCTTTAATACAATGTATTTATTCATTTTCCCACCTGAGAGAAAATAAGAGAAAACAATAAATCTTAATTTAACTTAGCATCAAGAAGTTTGAGAGTTGCCAGGCATGGTGGCTCATGCCTGTAATCCTAGCAGTCTGGGAGGCCGAGGCGGGAGGATGTTTGAGCTCAGGAGTTCGAGACCAGCCTGAGCAAAAGCGAGACTCCATCTCTACTAAAAATAGAAAGAAATTA